CTTTTCCTTTCCTTTTTTCTCTGCAGCACCCTCTCTTTTCCTCTCTATTTCTCCCGGGAAAACCATCAAATTTTCCGGGCTCTGAGCCGAGTCTGAGGCTGGTTTGGGCCCAAATGCCAAAATCAGCCAAATCGGCAAAATACCGGGTATTTTGCGGGTATACCTGGAAAACCCCGGGTATACCTGGAAAATATCCTGCGACCGCCTGGGTATCGTGCCGATTTCCTCAATTTTGCGTCAGATTTTGCCCCAGACCAGCTCTCAGACTCAGTCTCAGGGAAACTCGCGAGTTTCCAGAATGGAGCACCAAACACCCTCTGTTTTCCCTGGAAATTTCCGGAAACGCAAAGTGCTGGGGACCCTCTGTTTTCCTTTTTGTTTGCCGGGAAAGCTTGTGCAGGCCAATACCGCGCACAGAACCTTTATCCCCCCCCCAATTACTCCCGTAACTCAAAAAACGATCTGGGTTAGTTAGCAATCAACCACTGCACCCTCCTCTTTTCACTTAGCACCTTGCGATCGTTGCCCCTGAAAAAGAAAGAAAACGGACAAAAGCACCCACGATTTCTTCCAAACCCGCGCCCGCTTTGAGCGACGGAGGGCGGCTCCCCTGTGACGCTCATTGCTGAGCACATGGCGAAGATGGGCGGAGACGCGGTCTACGCGAAGCGCTCCGACCGCGGCTGCACGGATGTGCTCTGCCTGCTCCTGCTGCTCGCCACCTGGGGTGCGATGATCTCCGTCACCGTCATGTCGGTGATCAAGGAGCCCGACATCGTCAACATCCTGAGGTACCCGCGGGACGAGTATGGACAGTTCTGCGGGCAGCCCGGCTCGGCGACGGAGGACCTGCCGCGTGCGCTGTACCCGACGCTCGACGCTGACTTTGCGAGCCAGGTGGCCGAGGCCAGCAGCCTTCCATTCTGGGAGTACTACAAGCTCAAATTCACGTCGATCTGCGTCGCCGAGTGCCCAGACGGCCTGTCGCTCTCCGAGTCCGCCCTGGGCGTGTACGGCGGCGCGGACTACCCCACCGGAGACGCCGTCAAGGACGATTCCAGTTGGAACTACACCACGCCCGAGTTTACCTACACCTTCCGCACGGCCAACCTGTACGGGCGCTGCCTCCCTCTCGGCAACACCTTTGCGGCGCCCGAGCAGGTTCTGTGCGTCTCTCCCAACTGCTCGTACGCCATGAGCGCGCTCGCCATCAACGTGACCGAGTGCGCCGTGATCCCGTCGCGAGCCGACGAGCGCGAGACGTGGGAGGTGTGCGCCGAGGACACCGGCAGCGCCGTCTGCGACGCGCAGGAGAAGGCGTGCGAGGTTGCGGTGCGGGTCGAGACGGCGCAGACCTTCCTCCCGGCCGACGGCGACGAGACGACGGACGCGCTCACGCGCAAGCTTGCGCAGTACGTCGCGCTCACGCTGCGCATGTGGGACTCCATCGCCGCCTCGTGGCGGGTCGTGCTGGCGCTGGGCGTGGCGCTGCCGGTGGCGCTCGGCTTCATCTACGCGGTGCTGCTCTCCCTCTTCGCGGGCGTGGTGATCTGGTCGCTGCTCGCGCTGCTGCTCGGCGGCATGGTCCTGCTCTCCGCCATCCTGTGCGTGCACGCCGGCTGGCTCGACGTCCCAACCGACGCGTACTCCACCTTTGAGGACGCCCTCGGCGCCGTCGCCAGCAACGACACCGCCGCCATCGCGTCCGCGCAGGCGGAGTCGCTGCTCGTGCCGGCCGGCTCGCTGTCCAAGGACTGGTACGTCGTCTTTGCCGTCCTCTCCATCGCGGCCACGCTGGTCATGCTGCTCTGGTTCTGCGCCTCGTGGCGCGCCATCCGCAGGGCAGTGGCCATCACCGAGGAGGCGACGAAGGTCTTCTCGACGCTGCCGTCGCTCATGATCTGGCCGTTCGTCGAGCTCGGCTTCCAGGCCGCCTGGCTCGTGTACGGCGTCTTCGGCCTCGCGGTCATCTCCTACCCGCCCGTCTGGGGAGGCGGCTCGACCACCACACTGCTCGCCCTCGCGCACGTCGCCGGCACGCTGTGGGCGATCCAGTTCATCAAGGCGTGCGACTACACCACGATGGCCGCCGCGGTCGCCTACTGGTTCGTCACCACCAACGTGGAGAAGGACGGCTGCTGCGGCGCCGCAAAGTGTTGCCGCGGCTGGTCCTCCGGCCTCGGCTTCCCAAAGCTGCTCGACGCCGCCTGGACCGTGTCCACGCGCCACCTCGGCTCGCTCGCGTTTGGCTCCGCCTGCATCACCATTTGCCAGCTGCTCCGGCTCGTGCTGTACGCGGTCCACGCGGCCACCAAGCAGACGAAGGCGGACCGCAACTTCCTCGTCCGCTTCCTCTTCAAGTGCGCCATGTGCGCCCTCTGGTGCCTCGAAAAGTGTGTCGAGTTTGTGTCGTACTATGCGTACGTGCACATCGCCATCGACGGCACGAGCTTCTGCGTCGCCTGCCGAGACACGTTTGGGCTGATCGTTAAGTACCCGGCGCAGACCGCGATCAACTCGCTCGTCAAGCGGCTGCTCTGCGGCGTGCTGCTCGGCCTCTCCACCCCCTTCCTCGCCTCCGCCTGTTGCTTCCTCTACCTCGACTCGCTCGACGACTTCACGGCGAGCCACTCGCCGCTCTACTCCGCCGCCGCCGTGTTTGTCATCGCGTGGTTCGTCGCGTCGGGCATCTCCAACGTCTTCGAGGCCATCCTCGACACCGTCTACCTCTGCGCCTTCCAGGACATGGACCAGAACTCGCCGCCGCGCTACCTCTCCGCCTCGATGCGCTCTGCGCTCGGCATCGACGCTGCGAGCGAGGAGGCGGGAGGCTCGGCCGAGTACTTCAAGAAGGCGTCAGACCGTCACCAGCAGGCCGGAGGGGCGGTGCCGGTGGCCAGGGAGGACGGCCAGCCCCCGATGCGTGCGATCTCGACCAGCGACGGCATCCGCGCGTGAGCGGGGCCGCGCGAAAAGCAACTCTCGGACGCTGCTTTCCCATGGCGCTCGAGTCCCATGGTACATCACACTAATCACTATCAGCTGGAGTCGTACGTACGTGTTAAGTAGCATGGAGAACACGCCGACATCTGTCAGAGACCGATCTGTGTAAGACGACGCGCGCGCAACACGCGCATGTGTTTTCAGTATCAATATATTGCGGTGTGGCGCGCGCGTGTGGGGGGATGTAAAGACTAAAGAGGTGTTCCTCTGGGCCCATCACTGCCCTCGTCCGGTGCGTTGAGGGCCCGGCCGCGACCGACTCAGCTGGGTCGCGGCATGCCCACGAGCACGGAGTGCTGCCCGCCCGTGCTCGCGTCGAGCACCGCGCGGCTCGCCAGCTCAGGCCCCTCAACCAGCGTCGGGGCGGTCTCGTCCTCGCCGCGGCCCGTGCAGAGCTGGCCCATGTCGCCGACGCCCCACGCGTACAGGTCGCCTGCACGGAGACCGCCCCGGTGAGAGGGTGAAGGGGGGGTGGGAGAGAGGGAGGAGGGAGGAGGGGCGCGACTCGCCCGAACCGTGTGTGAGAAGCTGCAACTCGGCGGTATCTCGGCGACATCTCGGCTACGTCTCGCCCGAGCGCGAGACGACCAGGTTGTGAGAGTGGCCGCACACGATCTTGTGGCCGGCGACGCCGCAGAGCGCCGCCACGAGCGTCGGCGTCGGCTGCTGCTGGACGCCATCGCCCAAGCCGAGCTGGTGGTTGTCGCCGCGCCCGAAGGCGTAGACATCGCCGCGAGTGGTGAGTGCGAGGGAGTGGTGCTCGCCTAGCGCGGGGCGTCGGCTCGGGTCACGCCTCTCTGCGCCTGGCGGAGCGGACCAGAGGCCCGAGCTCGCCCCCGGCGAGCATGCAGACGCCGAGCCCCTGCAGGCCGCCGAGCAGGGTCGGGGTGCTCGTCTTGTTTGGGTCGAGCGAGCCGAGGCCGAGCTGGCCCATGTTGTTGAGGCCGCACGAGTAGACGTTCTCGCACTCGGTCAGCAGGAAGGTGTGGTACGCGCCTGGCGGAGGGGGGAGGGGGAGAGGGGAGGGGGGCGAGGTCGGGCGAAGGCGGGGCAGGGGGGGGAAAGAGGATGCGAAAGGGCGCCTGCAAACGCCGCCTTGATCTGCAGCCGGTCGTCGAATTTAAACTCCTCCGCCTGCCGCTTGGAGATGGCCGCCTGCGGGCGCCAGGTCAGCCGGCGCCATGTGGAGGCTCGCCCCAGATCTCGTCCAGATCTCATCCACATCTCGGCTGTGTCTCGGCCGTGTCTCTGCTGTGTCTCCCCATATCTCCCCATATCTCCCCATATCTCGCACCCGGTGCTCGAGGTACAGCGTCGCCGCCTCAGTCGCGTCCCACGCCGCGTCCTCCTTGAGCCGCGCCTTGACCCAATCGCGAAAGTTCTCGTTGAGCACCTACAGAGCGAGCCAGCGCCGCGTCCGGCGGTGCCGCGTCTCGCTCGGCGAGGGGCGGCGGCGTGTGGCTGCCCTCGCGTGCCGCTCGTACAGGCTCGTGCCGGGAGGGGCGGGCAGCCGCAGCGAGCGAGGCGCGCCCGGCGCAGTGAACTTCTTCTTGTCCGCCTTCTCGGTCGGCCACTCCTCCTCGTGCATCGTCTGGCCGCTCTCGTTGCAGCCCCACGCGTACACCTGACGGACGGCGGCTCGCGGCTCGCGGCTCGCGGGTCGCGGGTCGCGGCTCGCGGCTCGCGGCTCGTGGTTCGCGGGTCGTGGCTCGTGGCTCGTGGTTCGCGGGTCGGTGTGCGGAAAGAGGTTGTTATCTCCCCATATCTCCCCATATCTCGCGGGTCGGTGTGCGGAAAGAGGTTGTTATCTCCCCATATCTCCCCATATCTCGCGGGTCGGTGTGCGGAAAGAGGTTGTTGTGCGGCCCGCGCCACTGCTCTGTGGCCTGCTGCTGCTGGCTGCTCTGCCCCTGCCTGCTCTGCCCCTGCCTGCTCTGCTGCTGGCTGCTCTGCTGCTGGCTGCTCTGCTGCTGGCTGCTCTGGCTTCCTAGGGCCGCCGCGCGCCTCGTACCCGTCCGCAGACACGACGACCGTGTGGTCGGTGCCCGAGGCGATGGCGCGCGCAGTCACGCCGGGAAGGACGCGCCGCGGCTCGCCCGCCTACTCCACCTCGCAAGCAAGCTCACCCCTCGGCCCAAGGGCAGGGGGCGGGCAAAGGGTGCCCTGCCCGCCTTTGCGAGGTCGGGGGAGTAGCCGATGTACCCGTTCGAGTCCTTGTAGGTGCCCCAGGTGAAGACGCGGCCGTCCCGCGCCAGGGCGGCCGAGTGGTTGTCGCCGCAAGTCACACTCTTCACCGGCACGCCTGGGGTTAGGGTTAGGGTTAGGGTCAGGGTTAGGGTCAGGGTCAGGGTTAGGGTTGGCAAGTCACCACTCTTCACCGGCACGCCTGGCCGACCACACACCGGGACGCGTCACCAGCCTCCCCTCCCCTCCCCCCTCCCCCCCCTCCCTCCCGCCACCTGCTAGCTCGCCACCGACCTCGCGCGGCTCCGCCTCCTCGCCCGGCCTGCCGAGCACCTCGTCGTCGTTGCAGCCCCACGACCAGAGCCGCCCGTCCAGCCCGAGCGCGATGCTGTGCAGCCCTCCGCACGCCACCTGAGGCAACGAGCACGCCGGGGCTTCGCGGCAGCCAGGCAGCGCACACCAAACCGCACGCGCGCAAGCCACACTGCGCGCCACACTCCACGCCACACTGCACGCCACACTGCACGCCACACCGCCACCGGAAGTCCCGTCCCGCAGGCGCACGCCGACGGACTCCTACCCCGGGCCCACCCCACCTGGCAGATCTGCGCCGCCGCGATCGGCAGCAGCAGCAGCTTCACGCTATCGCGCTTGCCCTCGTCGCCAAATCCCAGTTGCCCGCAGTCCCCGTTTCCGGCGATCAGCAGCTCGCCGCTCTCGTTCCCCGTCCGCACGAGCGCGTTGGTGCGGCCGCGCTTGGCGACTGAGGCCGGCGCCTCCTCCGCGGGGCGCTTGGACCGTGCCGTCGCCGTCGCCGCCGCCGCTGGTGCTGCTGCGGGCGCTGCCGCGCCTCCGCCAAAGACAAAACCACCGCCGCCGTTGGCCGCTGCAGGAGCGCCGCCACCAAACGTGAACCCGCCGCCGCTGCTGGCGGGCGCACCGCCAAACTGGAAGCCGCCGCTGCCTGCGGAGGAGGGCGCACCACCAAACGTGCAGCCGCCGCCTCCGCCAGCCGGAGCTCCGCCGAATTGGAAGCCGCCGCTGCCGCCGCCGCTGCCGCCGCCGCCAGCGAACGCGGCGGCAAAGGGGCTCGGCGCGGGAGCAGCGTCGGGATCGACTATGTTGCCCTGCGCGTCCAGCTTGTGGTGCTTCGTGCCCTTCTCCACCTGCATAGGGCAGCGCGTCGACGGCTGAGTGGCGGGCGTGCACGGGAGTGCGGGCGGAGCGTGCGTGCACCATGATGGTCTCGCCGGTCGACTCGTCGATGCGCTCCTCATACTTGTCCTTGAACAGGTCGCCCCAGCCGGACATCGGGGGCAGAGACCCAGACGGCAGCCCGGCGGGTCCCCGCGCAGCGGAGACACGAAGCCGCGCACGCGAAGCAAGAAACGCTGCAGGACCACGGAAGGCGTGTTGTTCCAGTAGGAGGCCCGCGCCTGCCCCCGTGCCGCCGGGTGCAACCTGTCCTATACGAGAGAGGAATCCCTGGGACCCTGTCGTGTGGGTGAACCCTGCCCAGCCCCCCTCCGTGTCGCGATGCGCTCCCCGCTCCCGTTCCCCTGTGTCCCTGATCGTCCTTACAAGATCCTGCTCGTGCAGGTGGGGACCCTGTCCTTCTCCCACCCCTCGTTTGGCGTGCCCGTTTTATTTATTTATTTAAGGCGTGTTGTTGTCGGCGCTCGCAATCTGTGTGGTGCTCGCTGAGTGTTATCTGTGACATCTGGACACATGGACTGTAGAGAGATAAAATAAATAAATAAACAAAGAGCTGGACAAATACCAAATTCCAAATCGCAAACATAGACAGCCAAAAACAGGCGGCGACGTGGCATACGAGCTCGCATGACTCCAAGGACGCACGAGCGAGAAGCAGCACCAGGAGACAGAGCCATGACTATGACGATTCAGCGCGTGAACGCCAACTCACCGGCACAGGCCGTGAAGAGCCGCGCCCGCGGGCCGACGATTACGCAGCTGCGCGCCAAGCAGGCCGCTCTTGTGGCCGCAGCCGAGCTCGCAGCTTCAAGTGACGCCGAGGCGAGTGTGGTGAGGCCGCCCGTTGACGAAGCCAAGCGGTGGGCAGGCGGCAAAGGCCGCAAAGTGGGCTTCGCAAAAGCACGGGCCACTTTCCGTGGCGGCGGCACGGGAATCGCGGCGACGGCGGCGAAGCACGACTCGGCTCATCAAGAAGGCTCGCTGGCGCGGCACGGAGCCTATCGCGCGGGAGACTCCAGCGGGCTCGGCGTCTGTTGTGACGATGCCGCATCGCAAGTATTTTGCCTCCGACAAGGAGCACCAAGTGAAGTTCAACCTGTGGCTGAAGACGGGCGACTTCAAAGGCAAGGTGCTCAAATGAGCGGTTGGCCACGCCGCTCCCGCACGCGCTGGCCCGACGCGGTCGACGAGGACGAGTACGAGTGCATGGCGTGCAAGCAGTGGAAGCCGTGGTTTTGTTACGCGGGCATGTTCAAGCTGGTCACCCCATTCAAGGACGCCACACACTCACACTGGTTAGATTTTCAGCGCGATGACGGCGGCCATCGGTTTGCCTGCGACTACTGTGTGCAAATCAGTAGCTGCTAGCGTCGGGACTGCCCCATCGCGTGGCAGGGTAGCGCGAAGCAATAAATAATAAATAGAGCGGCGCGAGGCGCGGGAGGCGGAGGAGCTCCGCAGGGAGAAGCGGCGGCAGAGACGCGCCATGGACAAGGAGGTCCGTCAGTTCGAGCAGGCATCTCCAGGAGAGATGGGCGACGCATCCAATAAACAAAACAGACACACCCTAATTAGGAGCCATGGGTAAAATCTGTGGGAGGGTGTAGAGGATGTAAATAAAACGCCGGACACCTCGCAGGTAAGGGTAAGGTAAGGTAAACTTCTCCACACACACGAGGTGGTGGGGCAAGGGGGGGCGACCCTCGCGTCTCAATAAATAAAAACGGACACCTCTCTACTGTGAGATGGGAATAAAAACGGACACCTCTCGTACTGTGAGATTGGGTAAAAAGGAACAGGCCCCCGCCAGGGAGCTGAACAGTGTTCAGTGATCTGTGATATCTGTAAGGGTCCGCCCGCAGGCGCATATTTTGTATACCGAGGCGGTGCCCGGTGCCGAGCGCAGGCAGAGCCCACAGGTCGGACCTTAAGACAGCGTTGTAAATCCCTGGGTGAGGGTGGTGGAGAGGGCGGTCTGTCGGACCGCCCCGTTGGAGGTAGACCGCTCGTCTACCAATAAATAAAACGGACACACCAAACAAGGGGTGGGAGAAGGACAGGGTCCCCACCTGCGCGAGCAGGATCTTGTAAGGACGATCAGGGACACAGGGGAACGGGAGCGGGGAGCGCATCGCGACCCGGAGGTCACTTGAAGCTGCGAGCTCGGCTGCGGCCAAATAAATAAATAAAACGGGCACGCCAAACGAGGGGTGGGAGAAGGACAGGGTCCCCACCTGCACGAGCAGGATCTTGTAAGGACGATCAGGGACACAGGGGAAGGGGTGGGAGCGGGGAGCGCATCGCGACACGGAGCTCGGAGGGGGGCTGGGCAGGGTTCAATGCGTGAATCGTGTCGTGCGACCGCCTGAGCTGCAAATTCTTTTTCCGCCGTCGGCAAGAGAATGCTGTAAGGCCGCGAGGGACGCGGCGAGGAGGGCGGCACTAAAGCGAGACCCGCTGTGTCCGATCGTGCGGAAAGCCGCGCAGCAATGGACCGAGGAAGATGAGAACCCGCCTAGGGCGACAATGGCGCACTTGCTTAGCGGCGCCTGCCTGGGGAATAGGGAGCAGGCCAGATGGTTCCTCAGAGTAGCGCGAGCGCAGACGGGGACGGCGATCAGCAAAGTAGCCCAGGCGGCACCCGACTCCAAGGATACGCTGAAGACGCTGAGGATGGCGCATGTCGCTGCGCTGAAGGGCTCACGCTATAGGGTGCTGGATGAGGACGGGTACGAGGCACTAGCCCCAGCCGTCGGGGGGGTGTTGCCAGCACTGGTAGATGACCTCTCGGAGAAGAGCCGGAGGGACCTTGGCGCCGGGGTCACGAGGAACTTGCAAGTCGTGGCCGAGGCGGCGACGGGAGCGGTGCAGAGGTGGATCCAGTTCAACGATGAGGCTACCGCGCGCATAATGAAGAGAGAGGAACACATTGAGTGGCTGAGGAAGCTCTTCGCTGGGTGGAAGGAGGCCCGGCCAGCCTTGAGGGAGTCGCGGAGGAGGAGGGATAACAGAGGTAACGTGGGGACGGGCCAACAGCCAGTGGGACGAACGAGGGCCGCGACGGCGGACCAAACGGGAGGGAATAAAAATAAATAAAAAACGGACACCTCTCTACTGTGAGATGGGTAAAAAGGAACAGGCCAAGAATTTTACAACGAAGAAACCCGTCGCTCATATTACTTCCAGCCGCCGGTCCGCGTACCCGAAGCGCGCCTTGTGGTCATCGAAGAGCCGCGTCAGTGCCTCGACGTACAGCGCGTGGTACGCCGTCACCTGCTCGGCGGTCGGCTCGGCGATGCGCGGCAGTTGCAGCGGCGCGCCGACGACGGTGTGGACGGCGACGTCGGCACGCGGGAGGAGCGGGCACCACCACGCTCCGTAGAAGAGGGGCACCACGAAGCCGCACCTGCGCGCGCACTCATGGCTGTAAAGACGGCGCCGGGGTGTGAAGAGCCGCATGGCGACGGCCGAACCTGCGCAGCAGCCACATGCGCAGCCTTTTCCCGGCGCCGACGGAGCGGTAGAGGTCGCACTCGCCAAAGGTGTACGCGAGAAGGAGGAATAAACAAAGAGCTGGACAAATACCAAATTCCAAATCGCAAACATAGAAACCCAAACACAGGCGGTGACGTGGCATACGAGCTCATAGGAGAAGGAGCGGCACAATAAATAAATACAACGGACATCCCAAGCTAGGGCTGGGTCGAGGACAGACACGTCCCCACCTCTGTAGAGAGATATATCTAGTCTTTGTTATCCCCGATTTTTATTTTTATCGGCCGACTTGCCGACGCCCCCCCCCCGACCATCGGGGCTTGTCAAAGGTTTCACACGAGCCCGGCGCCAGCGGCGGCCACCATGCTTGCGCGGGCGGTTCGCGCGCCGGCAGCGCGGCTGGCGCCGCGCTGGTGCCGTCAAATGGCTGTGCAAAAGTTCCCTGTGCCGGAGATGGGCGACTCGATCAGCGAGGGCACCGTGCTCGAGCTGAGCAAACAGGTCGGTGACTATGTTGCTTTGGAGGAGGTCCTTGTGGTGGTGGAGACGGACAAGGTGACGGTGGACGTGCGGTCCCCGGCGGCTGGCACGATCACGAAATGGTTCGCCAACCCCGACGACACCATCGAGGTCGGCAGCGACTTGATTGAGGCTCGCCCGCCCGGCCCTCGCTCCACAACCTCTGCCCCGGCCCACACCACGGATGAGCCCCTTGACCCACCCACCCCGCCCCCAGATTGACGTCGGCGTCGGCGAGCCTGCACCTGGCGCCGCACCGCCCCCCGCGCCGGCGGCTGCCGCGCCGGCGGCGCCTCCCGCCGCGGCAGCTGCGCCTGCACCGCCGCCTCCAGCGCCGGCGGGGGGCCGGATCCACCCGGGCGGCGCGCCGTCCCTGATCCGCTTCCGCTCGCAGGGTGGACCTGCGGCCGCTGCCGCGCCCGCCGGTGCGCCGAAAATGGGCGCTCCTCCTGTCGGAGTGAGCGTCGACGAGCTCCCGGCGCGCTTCCGGCGGGCGCCGATGAGCGAAGATGAGA